GTTTTGCAAAAGAGACATTGAAAAAAGAAATTGAGGACTTTTTCACTAAGAAAAGAAACCTTAGATTCATTTTATAGAGAGAATGAGACTATGGGCTCCCCGCCACACCCCCAAGCCTTTGTTTCACGAGTCGACAGCGAAGCCTGTAATCGACGATGTAAAATGAATCAGGAGCACACTTCAGTGATACGCTAGTAATCACAATGCATTTGGAATGTTAAGTGTCAGATTTCCCTCACATATTTCAAAATGGTTTTACATTTCTCTGGCTTAACCTCTCTTGACACCAGTGAACTTATGGCTTGTAATTGAAGGATAAGTGAGCAAAAAGCAGTTCATGTAATAAGATATCCATTTCTATTCCTATTTCTGGACGGAGACCTTTTATGCTAAATTCACGTGAGAGTAAATTTTTATCACAAAATTATAACCCTCAGATAGATGTTACTCAGGCAGGCTGAGGTCTGTCCTGGTGTGATGGATTCGGTGACAGTGAAATGCCGGAGCCTCCCAGAAGCATTGCCTCAGGAAATTCTGACAGTAGCCTATATGCTGCCGAAAATTTCAACATGCGATTATGACTCATTATAGAAAAATGCCTTGGTTGTCTTAAACATAAAATGCAATCGTGTTAAAAAGGAAAAAGGAATGTAAAGGCATAATCTTTGAAATATCGCCAGGTGTTTGTATTAGCCACCCTATTTAGAGATAATGTTATTGCTTTTAATGTGTTTTTATATATTAAGACTGCTTGGTAGGAAGGAGCCCTGCATTTTTGGCCCTAAATTTAAGGTCTACCTCTAATTTTCTGCATGCCGCCAGGTGAACGCAAACGAGGGGCCTCTCTGCGTCCGGAAGGAATTTAAACTTCATAACAGCAGTTCTCTTCCAGGAGTCCAGTGGCACTGTGAGATAGGCATTGGGTGACTACCCTTAAGATAAGTGGTTCAAATCCCCCCCCCCCCCCCCCACACACACACACACAAACAGGAGAAAGAAAAGGCTATCTGTTCCCACGATGGTTCACAGCCTTGGAAACCCTCAGGAGCAGTTCCATTGTGTCCTACGCAGTGGTTCTCAACCTTCCCAATGCCAGGACCCTTTCATAGTTCTGCATGTCGTGGTGACCCCCAACCATAAAATTATTTTCGCTGCTACTTCATCACTGTAAGTTTGCTACTGTTATGAATCGTCATGTAAATATCCGATAGGCAGAATGTATTTTCATTGTTATAAACTCAACATCATGAAAGCATAGTGATTCATCACTAAAACAATATGTCATTATATATTGTGAACTATTTATTTCTAACGACAAATAACTGAAATTTTGTCTGGAAGCATGGTGTAGCATGGGTCTCAGTCTTCATGCTGGGTACTCGTCTGTGGGCGTATCTGCACGTGGGCAGACCTGCCTAGAGACGGACAGAGGAGCGGTGTCTCAGTTCCTAAGACCCTTGGAAATAGGTGCTTTCCGATGGTCTTAGGCGACCCCTGTGAAAGGGTCGTTCATCCCCAAAGAGGTTGCGACCCACAGGTTAAGAACTGCTGTCCTATAGGGTAGCTATGCGTTGGAATCAACTTAATGGCAATGGGTTTGGTTTTAGTACTTTTTTAAGTGGTAGACTACGCCTGCTTCCTGCATCTCTTCGAGTCAGTTTGTTAAAGGTAAAATACCTAAACCTGTTTCAAAAATTGTAGCCGGCACAGTGACATCGTTTCTGTTATCAGCAAACAAAACAACCAAACCAAACTCCCGGCCCTCCCGCCAACGCTGACTGCTGGGCGCACCCTGGGGGATTCTGTCACTGCTGACGGGAGCGGAAAGCCGGTCTTTCTCCCAAGGAGCTGCTGGTGGTTTCGAACCAGACCCTGCCTGTCATTTCCTCTGCTTCCATTCCCAAGATCACCGGGTGGCCCAAGGTGACTGCCAGTCACAGCCATCGCCATTACATCCCAAACGAGAGAAAGCAGAGAAGAAGAAGGCCCAACTGCATGTGCCTGGAGTCTGTGACGTTAGCCTCCCAGACTCTGTCATGGGATACTCTTGCCCACAACGCGGTGTTCAGTCGAACAGCCATCTTTATTTGCCAGGGAGTTTTGGAAACAGAGTCTTTACCTTTGCCTGATAGTGAAAGAGACCTTACAGATGGGCAGATTCCTGTCTCTAAGGGACATGTGGTCAGGGGTAGCTTCTGGACTCACTTTTTACAGATGGTCAGATAAACGTGCAGTCAATGAAGATAGTTTATTGCTTCTGTTTTGTATGACCCATATTCTGGGGAACTCCCCATCAACTGAATACTACAATAAACACTTCCTTGTCAATTTTGGGAGCTAGTACATATTCTCTTTTAGAAAGACTTTCGTGTTTTCTATGTTAAAAAAAAAAAGTGAATTTATCGAAACCAAGGACCATTTTTTTTAACTCAACCCTGGAGCAGGAAAACCTAGTATCCATCTATTTGTGATGATCAAAACAATTGGAATATTTTTGCTAGTAAAAGAGGCTAGGGCAGAACATGCAAACAGAGAAAAGATTCATGTTCTCAGTGATTTATTGTATGTTTCTCTGCAATTAATTGCTTTTTCATAAAACATCAAGCAAACAAACATGTTTATGTTAAAGAAACCCAAACTCTCTAAAGATCTGATGATCGTTTAGCCAATCAGCACTTCTATGGTCATAGCATGTATTCAATGTATAGGCAGTGGGGGGGACACCCAGCCCCCCATATAATATTTCAAAATCAGCGCGAAGTCATAGTGCTCCTTTGGTAAACTTGCATTAGTAAATATATTCCATAAAACACTTAATTTTATTGTGTGGTAGAGATGGATGTTTCAGAAAATGGATCATTGGCATAAAAAATGCTCTTCGAGTATAATTGGCAGCAAGCAGATTGGAAAAGGAATGATGTTTAGAAGGATTTTTCATAGGCACATTGTCAAGACAATTGTAAAACACGCATAACTTGCAAGCTGGGAACAAGGTCCTTTGCTGATAAATGACAAGGGAGGAACTGGAGCACGGATGGCGCGGACACTCTCATGCCCCAAATGGAGGGCTTTAAAAACTGCAGTGTAGACGGTTTTCTTCACATGGCTCTTTTCACAATTTATTTGAAGTACATGAAGCTAAACGCCTAAGGTGCCATTCAAAACGGTGCAACCGGACAGGAATGACGCTCTCTAGGGTGTTTTCTTTCTCGGTCATCTGGATGGTTTTCCTCAGTCGAGAAAAGAAATGTAAGGCCATGGAAGAGGTCAAATAGAATGGTGTAGAAAAATTTTGTGTCTTTTACAAACTTAATATTGGATGGAAAAAAGACCTACCCAAACTAAGCTGACTGTCACTGGGTTGATTCAGATTCTTAATAATTCTATTCTGATACTGTAAATAGACATATGTACAGTATAATATATAATAAATATTATATATATATGTCATAAATCAGGTTCACCTGTCTCCTGTGGAGGGCTGGTGGGTTTGAACCATGGCCCTCACCATCAGAAGTCCAATCCTTACCCAACAATGTCACCAAGGCTTCTTGACTGAAGGGCAACACTCAATCATGGGCATTTCCCCTAAAGATCCAGCAGAGTTAAAGAATCTGTGAATTTTAGGGTTAGAGTATATTTTAATCTCTTCTTAGTTGATAAAGGAAGTATGAATGTCTATGTACTTTCCATGCAGCGTACTTAATGCACCAACATTTATATTCCATGCACTCTGTCAATCTGGAAACTAAATATTTACATAGAGAGAGAAGTTTTCATTGGGCGTGGCTTAATTTCATAACCACCACATTTTGCCATTTACTTGACTCTGTCACTTTCCCCCTCTTCAGTTGGAGAACAATTTTGTTACCCACACTGGTTTTCCTTAGACAGCTGATGGAAAAATGTTACCTACTTCATAACTATCAGAAACATAGTCACCTTGTGTTTGGTGGTGTTCTGTCTTTAGTGGGTCTCTAGAGGATTCAGGAGGAGTATTTTTAGGGGTTTGTTCATGTGATTTCTCAGTACCTTTACTCAAAAACCAAGTTCACTGCCACTGAGCTGATTCGACTTGTAGCAACCCTAGCGGACAGGGTAGGCCCGCCCCTGTGGGCTCTGAGACTGAGACTCTTTCTGGCAGCAGAAAGCCTCATCTTTCTCTCATGGAGCAGCTGGTGGTTTTGAACTACTGACCTTGCGGTTAGCAGCTCAACACATAACCACTATGCCAGCAGGGCTCCTCAAGAATTGTTACCCAGAGTGTTCCGAGAAGTACGTAAGTCTATGGGGCGCGTAAGGAACCCTCTACTTGTCTCTCACATGCTGACCCAGTCGAGGTGGGCGTCTGTGCTCAGAATCTCTTGAGTGTAGTAGCCAGCTTCTTCACATGATCAAGTTGGGAGGTGAGGTGAGGAGGTGATATTTTGTGACATCACCTTAGAATCTTAGATTGTCGACAGTGTCAAGGTAACAAGACACTCTGAATGCCCTTGACTGACATGACACTCACTGTCTAACTTGCATGCACAGCTCAGGCCTCCTCTGTATCTGGGGGAGGGGGGTGAGGGAGGGGCTGGGTTGGTCCCAGCTGACAAGACTGTCTCTGCTGTGTCTGTAACAGCCAAGAGATATTTTGACAGGGAGTCTCCTGCGATTATGGCAGCTTACTTTCAATTATTTTGAATTTAATGCATATTACGGCGAAGAGGACTGAACTCTCGCTTAAAGCACTGAGATTCATCTCTCTATATATATCACTTTATTTCCTCCTAAACCATCTTTTAGCTAGTGTGAAGATAAAAACAATGTTTGCTTCAACTAATATAGAGATCAATGCATTAGCTCATTCCATTTTAAAAAATGGGGGCTACTCTCTCTCATCAGCAGACGGGATGAAAGGCATTTGATGCTTGCTTACAGATACTAATAGAAGTGCAGAGAATACAGTTTCTTGAAACCAGAAGACACAGTTTATAAGCTTTTGGAATGCCCTTTATTCTTATTGCATTAGCACGCACACCAGGATGAAGCCATGTGGTCATGACCAGATGCTGGAGAAATTGAAGGCTTTCATTTCCTTTCTGCGCCTCTACCACTGGTTTTAAATTCACTTGGAACAAGAAAATGTGAGAACAAGCTTTTCTTTCTTGCCACGTCGTGAAGGCGCCACTGAACGTGAATGAGAGCAAAGAGAAATGACAGCGCGCAGGTGAGTGAGCAAAAGGACTTTTTCATGCGGCGGGGAGGCTGCGTCCACGGCTGGGTGACCGTGGAAACTCCCACGAGAGGCAGACATGGATGAGCTGACTTCTTCCAAACTGAGGCTCATTCTTTAGCAAGCATGCTTGAGGATATATTTGGCAATAAACTTGACAGCTAGCATGGTCTCTTTACAGGTTGACTTTATCTGAGATTCTGGCAGAAGGAACCCAAATTTGCCTTTATCTCGGAGTTCAAAGGCAAAGGTGTGTTTGATACCCACGTCGTACGCCCAGTCCAAGGAGGAACCTGATGTCGGATCTGTAACACATAAGCAATAAACGTGTCATTAGAGGCTCAGGCTAACACTCTCCCTCAAACGGAAATTAGCGGTAGAAAATACCTCATTCGTGATAGAAAACACATAATGTCACGTGCCGTCCATTGCAACTGTGGTCTGAGTCGTAGTGTGAGATACAAAATACTCCTGGCTTTGGAATCCACTGTCCTTTTTAGATATCTACTGGGTCCTTTAAACTGCATTCAGGTGGGGCTGGTCCTGAGTTGGGTGCACATTGTTGCAGGTGGAGGAGGTCTGAGCAAGTGCAGGGGCTGAGGAAGCTCTGTGTGGAGGAGCCACCGGCCTCAGGAGACCCTCAAAGGAGCTTTGCCAACATTGCCTCTTGTCTACAGTTCAACCTCTTACTTTCATGTTAGCGTATAAACCGAGATCAGTGATTTCAAGGAAGCCTTAATCACCAACTCCAACATTTCCAGGTCATTTTTTATGACATTTCCTAAGGATGTTATTATTTGGTAAAAAGGTTAAACACCGAAATAAATGTTGTATGTATATGGGTATACACACACACACTACACAAGAGCACATGCTATGGCAGTGCTGTGCTTTGGAGTCCTTTTCTTCTACTAGCAGCCCTATCTCTGTCCAACAGAGCACAGGAGCCCAGACCTGCAGCGCTCTCAGAATCCAGGCTGTTTGAGCTCATCGATTTCGTTACTGCGTCTGTCCATCTTGCTTCTATCCAAGCCCAACGCTCATGGAAGCAGCAGTCCAGAAACCATCTCACGGGGTAAGCCTGCTACACAGGACTCTCTAGACTACTGAAGACCAAGAGGGTTACTTGAGGACTAAGGGGCACCTGACCAAGCAAGCCCTTGCCCTTCCGATGGCCTCATAGGCACGTGAAAGGTGGGCATTGGGTGAGGACAGCCAAAGAGGAAGCGAAGCATTTGACTTATGGGACTATAGAAAATCCCAGAAGAACAAAACAGATGTCTTGGAGGACGTATAGCCAGAGTGCTCCTTAGAAGCAAGGATGGCAAGACTTTTTCTCATGTAGGTTGGTCATGTTATCAGGAGAGATACCAAAAATAAAGACAAAAAGCTCACTGCCACGCAGTCCATTCTGACTCATAGTGACCCTAGAGGACAGCATAGAATTGCCTCTGTGGGCTTCTGAGTGTGCAAATCTCTACAGGGCAGAAAACCTCGTCTTTCTCATGGGTTTTCAGGGGCTGCTGGGTTTGAACTGGTGACCTTGTGGTTAGCAGCCACTGGGTAAACCACCAGGGAGGGATTAGTCCCTGGAAATGGGCATCCTGCTCTATGAAGGTGAAGGGCAGCAAAAGAAGAGGAAGACCCTCCATGAGATGGATTGGCACAGTGGCTAAACAATGGGTTCAACCCTGGCAGCAATGGGGGGCGGAGGGGGGGCAGGGCTGGGAGGCTCCATTCTGTTGTGCACGGGAGCGCTCTGAGCTGGAACAGACATGACGATGACACATAACAACAACAATAGACCATTCCCAAATCTAAGTGTGACATCCTTTTCTCAGTTAAATTGCGATTTTCCTCATCTGAGGCATGACCAGGGATTTTTGATATCCCCTTAGACAGTTTGACCATCATGTTAAATCTTAAACTATCCGTAAGTTCTCCGGCTTAGCAGGTGGTCACTCACTCTGTTGTGGCTTAGCATATGGGCCCTGATGGATCTTCTTGAGTGATGACTGAAAAGAATATTGTTTTCAGAGTCCTTGGATGGTTGTTCAGTTTGGTTGGTTTGTGTAGAGCTGTTGAGGCTGCCCCGGATTTCCACAGGTGTCTCCTTCCTTCAGGCCGGCCACCTGGTCCCTCCAGGTGCTAAAGAGATGCTTTGACGAACATGTGATCCAGAAGGCTGTCATTTTAAGTTAGAGTTGGGTTTCTGCTTAGTAGAAACCAAGCAACAAAATAAGAGATAAGGTAAAGGAGACAGGGTAGGTAAGAACTGTGTCTTGTTCGATGACTTAGAGCAGTGGTTCTCCACCTTCCTCATGCTGTGGCCCTTTCATACAGTTCCTCGTGTTGTGGCGACCGCTCCCCCAACCATAACATTATTGTCATTGCTACTTCATCACTGTCATTTTGCTACTGTGATGAATCGGGCGACCCCTGTGAGAATGTTGTTTGACTCCTAAAGGGGTCACGACCCACTGGTTGAGAACTGCTGATTTAGAGCCTTCCAGACATTTTAAAATTAATTTGCTACATTTCTACCTGCACCCCGTCTCCATTTCTATTTATGTAAACTGTTGTGGTTTCAAAGGGTTAAGGAGTGCATTTATTCTGAGAAATTAACTGTGTGAAATTTCTCATGAGGAAGAATAGTGCTGCTTGAGCATATATGGAGTTTGTGATTTTCATCCTCATGTGAAATTACTGAAGGTAATCCATTCTTTGTGATGGTACAATTTAAAGCATCTACACCTTGACTTTGCAAGTAAGCCAAACTAAGGCATAAGATAAATACAGTACCCAAAGTCTTTTTACCCATACTACATGCATGATTGCAGACTGGATTTGTTGAACGTGACAGTCGTTTACTTATCTCCCCATGTACTCGCTGAACTAAGTGCATATACTGATAAAATCGTAATCAGCTCCTGCCACATGCCAGCAACCCGTGTTGTCCATCACGTGTTGTCCATCACGTCTGATAACTCGCTGGAGAGCTTCCTTTCCGACCTCAGGACCGATTGCCACTCACGAAGGAGGAACTTCCGGCACAGAGAGATTTCCTTTGCTCAGAGACACAGCTAAGGTGTGAAGTCAGGTTTCAACCTCAAAGCCAGGCCCCGGTCTCTAGAGTTCATGCTGTACAGGACGGCAGTGGACGGATGCTCGTGGGGCCATCTAGAGTCCACCACTGAGAAGGCTTCATTACGTCTTTACAAGGCAGTACTGTTTGGGGCGGGTGGGTGTTTGACAATATACTCTTAATGTCCACGTTTCAAAACAACATTGACTATCCTGTTCAAGGCACAATATTAGGTGTAGGATAGTTAGTATGAATTCAGCAAAACGAGTGGAAATAACCCCCGACTCAACGCAGCCCAAAGGAACCCATAAAGTGACCTAACTTCTGAGTGCCCCATTCTCTACCTACATGACCCAGTACTTTCTAGACAAGCTTCTCGTTCGTTTAAACTAGTATGGACATGCATTAGGCATAGTAACCTGAACATCTGTGCATTCACACATTGTAACCATTGGGACCATTGTAACCGGAGCAAGAGCTCAAAGCAGGCACACGTGAAGCTCCCTGGTTTTAAACACATGATCATAAGCAGAAATAACACGCTCCTATGTTTTTGTTGCCCCTCAAGGGGATCTTGGTTTAAACTTCTCTTCAGAGCTGGAGTTTGGGTGTCAGATATTGTGAGCTACAGCTTTGAGGTCTGGATTTTTTCTCCTTTGCAACACGCTTCAAAGTATACTAAGGGCACTTCATGTGCAACTTTTCTCTCAGCTGAGTCTCACAGTCGGATGGTATAATGATGCAAAGTCCCCCGGTGCCCATGGATTCAACGAATTCTTCCTGCTACCTACGTACTAGGCTCCGTTATTTCTAAATTATGAGGGATTGGATGGACTGTCATTATACTATTATAAACATTTTACAATCTTTAAAATCATTAAGCTTCCATGCCATCCAAATCTGGGGGTTTTGGGGCAGAGTAGCAGGTACACTTCGTGGACTCTGATCTAGAGGGCTGTTTGTTATTCTGCTCCAATGTGATAGACTCATTCTGCATCTCACTTGCACATGCTAGAAAATGACAGGCTTAGGGTAGATCAGTGATTTTCAACCCATCTTCTTAGAATCACGAGGGGGTACTTTAAAAAATGCCAGTGCTTGAACCACATTAAGAAAAATGAAATAGAATCTCTGGGGATAGGGCCTAATGTTTGTGCTTAAAGCCCCAAGATGATTTCAATAGGAAGCCAAGGCTTGAGACTCATGGACTGGATTAGTTCTTAGTTTTCTAAAGCTTCATTTTTAAACTTACCAGCTATATTTGCATCTTAGAGTCACATTGCAAACATCTCTGGAGATCAGAGATAAGCTTCAATTTAGATTTATAAAATGCCTCCCCAACCCTTTTCTCTCTCCTTCAGTGGGGGGAAGAAAACACACCAAAAAACAACAGAGAAAAGGGTAGATGTTTTGCTGAAATTTGGGGACTTGTCAAGTGACAATCAGTCTATTGGAATGACTAAACTTTAATCATGGGGCATCCTTATTTTCAATTCTTTCCAAGTCTACCAGTCGGGGACCCCCTGCTTTTCATGAATGTTTGATTAACATTCAATCAGGTGCTTTATTCAAGCAGTTACTCCTAGAAATTGTGAACATTTATCAAGCTGTTGCAGCCCTGTCTGGAAGAGGCAGTTCTTTTGAAATCCAAATTTTAAAACATTTTAACATAATGCAAGAAAAAATTTTAAAAAGATGACTGCAACGTGGTATGGAATGAGTAATGGTTTTTGACCCTACTCTTTGCTTTTGAATTTTGAAAGTGACACTCGATGGCATGCAAGGTAGCGTTGTATATTTGGCCATCTGCTCTTCCCAGTTAGAATGGCACTTCTTTGAGGGCAGTTTGTGCCCTAGCCCCTCCTTTCCTCTGGAGGCTCCTCTGTCTTCGGCTGTTCGGGAGGGCAGGTGGTCCAGGCCTTCTTGCGCACGAAGCGTGCCTTCGGGCCTCGCTCCCGCGCTCTCGCTCTTTGTACTCATATCGGGATGGTCTTTGATGCCGTGGTTGTCGATGATCCAGTGTGGTACTGTGTGGGGCCCTTTACTCTTGGTCCGAAGAAGACCTCTGTGTTTTTCTTGTGCAGAATAGTCGCTTTAACATCCTAGATGGTTAGCTTTTCCATCCCTACCCCTGCCAGTATGCTGGAATCATTTAAAAATACTCCTACAGGTTAGATGTAGATGCTCTGTTTTCAAATTTTGTCTTCATCCACTGTATGT